GTGTTGCCCTTATTGGTCGAGGAACAGCCTTCATCGATCATTACGTCACAAGGCATGGAGAAAAGACTATGGTGACTTCTCAGATATATCCAGTGTACCTAGTGCCAGGATTACATGGTCGTCTCATGTCTTTGGGCTCCTTACTCAAAGGAGGATCTCGCGTTCGTGGAGACGAATTGCGGATCAGCTTACATCGAGGGAAGTCCCCACTCTCGATCATGGAGTTTAGAACTCTAGGGAAGGACATTGCCTTGTACTTCCTGATGTCAAAGCCTAGTACGGCTGAGACAGTGCGATCCATGTCCACTGTATACAAGGTGGATTATGAGATCATGCACCGGCGATTTGCACATCCGTCGAAAGACGTTTTACGTCAGGCAAAGAAGAATACCAAGGGCTTTCCAGAAGACCTAGTATTTCCTGAGGAAACCCGACCGTGTAAAGGATGCAGGCAAGGGAAAATGCACCAACGTGCCTTCCCGCCTTCCGAAAAACGAGCGGAGAACCCGTTTGATCTTATCCACTCGGATCTCAAACAATTTCCCACGGTGTCTTATCACAAGTACCGCTACTTCATGAGCTTCTTCGACGAAGCACTCTCCTATGGCTGGACAGTATGCCTTGCGCAGAAATCCGATGCCAAGCAGGCTATGCGCAATTTCATTGCGATGGTCAAGAACCAGTTCAATGTCACCATCAAAAAGTGGCATATTGACAATGGGGGAGAATTCATGGGGATGGGAATGGAAGAATTTCTCGCGGAACAAGGAATTCTAGTGGAGAAGGGTGCTCCATATGCTCACCAGCAGAATGGGCATGCCGAGCGCTTCAATCGTACGATCATGGATAAGGCAGAAGCCATGCGCTTCACTGCCTGTCTTCCTAATTCTTATTGGGAATTCGCTATTAAACATGCGACACGGATCTACAATATGACACCTATCAGGCGTCTAAAATGGAAAACTCCATTTGAAGCTCTTCACAAGGAAAAACCGGATGTTTCCGAACTCCGAGTCTTTGGTTGCGCTGCATATGTCTTTATCCCTGATGAGAAGCGCGCCAACAAGTTATCGCCCAAATCGGAGCTGATGACCTACTTGGGCATTCCTGATGGTGTGAAAGGATTTTTGTTCATGCGCACAAACAATTCCACGTTCGTCGCCACCAAGGCATTGTTTGACGAGGAGTTGTTCCCCCGCTGTCCTGACAGCAATCGACCACCCCACGTTCCTGTTGGAGAAGAATTTCCAGAACGTGATGACCCAGTGAATCCACAAGATCCACCACAGGTAGACGGAGAAGATTGGCTATATGGAGATAATCCTTTTCCATTTCCCATGCCATCTGATCCGGCTCCACCACCTCCCGTACAGGGAAATGATGATGGTGACAACGGTCATAATCATCAGGACCCACCGCCAGAGCGTTGGGATGAACCTCAGAGGACTCGTAGAAGTAGAATTCCATGACCAAGTCGGGAAGCTTCACCAGCTCCTGAGCCTCGAAGGTCTTCACGCCAGCGGAATGTGCCTACACGTCCAGGAAACGTCTATGGGGAAAAGCGTACCCCTACGGATATAGTCCGTGACATTCAGAACAGCAGAGGATGGAAGCGGTATGTTGGTGAAGATAAGGGTAGCTCCCAATCTCAACCATCAACCGGTGCTGATGCAGGGGTTCCCGGCCCTAGCTCGCAACCAGATTCCTCAAACGCGGGTGCTTCTGATGATCTAGACGAGGATGCACGCATGGAGAAGCTATGCCGGGAAGGGGGAGTAGAGCTCATCACGGCGCTACTGTCAAAAGCAGTGCCAAATGAGAACCTACCTGACACGTCCAAAATTCGCGATTGGACGTTCTGCGATATCAAGCGGTTGCCTTCTGAACAACAGAAAGGTTGGATTGATGCTTGCCGCGACGAGTTAGAGGCACTTCGTCAGCGCAAGGTCTATTCCCTTGTGGACCGCCCGAAAGGACGGAAGGTTATCAGATGTCGCTGGGTCTTTGACCAAAAATCTGATGGCCGAAAACGTGCCCGCCTAGTTGCCAAGGGTTTCAGTCAAGTCGAAGGTGTTGACTATGACAAGATATTCTCTCCTGTTGTCAGGTATGAGACGTTCCAGCTGGTCATGGCGCTTGCAGCGCTAAATGATTGGCATTGGTCTGGACTCGACGTCAGTAAGGCTTTTCTCTATGGAGAGCTTGACGAAGAGGTCTACATGGAACAACCCAAAGGCTTTGTGGCAAGAGGCCAAGAGCGCAAAGTCATGCACTTGCACAAGGCAATCTATGGACTCAAACAAGCTGCTTTAGCATGGTGGAAAGCGCTGACCAAGTCCACGAAAGCCATGGGCTGGATCCGACTAACATCAGATGCCGGCGTGTTCTTCTACAAGGACTCTGATGGCAGCATAGCCGTCATAATAGTCTATGTGGATGATGCACTGTTCTTCTCCAAGAACAAGAAGCTCCTCGCCTTTCTCAAGGCTGAGTTCAACAAGCGATGGGAATGCCGCAATTCTGAAGATACTCCAGAGTTCTTGCGCGTACGCCTCAGTAGAGTAGGATCTTCGATCAAGATTGATCAGATTCCCTATCTCAACAAGGTGCTAGAGCGTTTTGGAATGCAGAACGCCAAGTTCGCAGCGACCCCTCTACTGGCTGGATATGTTCCAATGCCAAACGAGGATGAAGTCGATCCAGAGCTCAGGAAGAAATTCCAATCAGTCATTGGATCTCTTCTCTTCATCATGCTAGGCACACGTCCTGATATTGCATTTGCTGTGACTAAATTGTCACAATTTGCTGCCAATCCGTCCCAAGACCACCTCCATAAAGCGCTGTATATCTGCCGCTATTTGGCTGGTACTAGGAATTATTCGCTCATTTTCAATGGTGCGACGGATAGAGGGCTCATTGCATTTAGCGATTCAGACTGGGCTGCTGATCCGATCAAGAGGAGGTCTACCACTGGTTTCTTCACGAAATTGGCAGATGGGATTATTTGTTGGCAGTCTAGACTTCAGCGCACAGTTGCGCAGTCTTCTACCGAAGCAGAGTACATGGCGATTTCAGATTGTAGTCGCCAGGTGATGTGGCTGAAGAGCGTCCTTTCGGAACTCCAGTTCAAACTCACCATCCCAGTACCCATTTGCGGTGACAATCAGGGTGCACTCTTCAGTGGCAGCAATGCCTACCGAGACCGCAGGATGAAACACATAGACATCCGCTATCACTACATTCGTGAGCGAGTCGAGGAAGAAGAGGTTGAACTGTTCTTTATTCCGGGCAGTGAAAATCCTGCAGATATGTTCACCAAGAACCTAGGACGCGTCAAGTTCAAGAAGTTCAGGTCCCAACTAGGACTTGAGTTCAACTCGTCCTGAAGGAATGGCCGATGAAGATTTTGCTTTCAAACACTATCCCGTGGTTTTCAGCGTGGGGGAGTGTTGATCAAATGATGATCTTATCATCTGCCAGATGGATGTCGTGATACACATCTCATGGCTCCATCACGTGTCATCTAGAGTCATGTCGACTCGTCCTAAATAGACACAAATAGCCCCCTGTATTGTATATAAGGAGGGCTCTATTACCCTTTAATAACAAGTCTCTTGACTACTCCTGCATAGTGCCCACACTAAGCTCTCTCTCACACAGGTGAGCTGCTAGACGCTCTCCCCAGTGCTCAACAATAGCAAAGAGTTGTAGAGCAGTGTGTTGTTTGCGAGTTCGGGTCGAGGTCTGGGCTCCAGCGTTGGAACTCGGCATGTCCACGATCACCAAGTCCTGCCCACTGCGAGAATTGGGTGTTTTCGGGGCAGGCGAGGCGGCCACACGTTTGGGAGCTGGCGTAAGCATCGAATGAGGGGTCCGGGCAGCCGGCGGTGAAAAGGACAGAAGAGGCGTATAATTGGGCGACGGCAGATGAAAGCTGGGAGATGGCGCAGGCGCAGCGTGCGAAGTAGCTGTGAAGCCGGCAGAAGGGTGAGAGGTGGACGTCCGAGCCTGCCAGTCGATGGTGCTGCCAGAGTCGACACAGGGGTAGGGAGAGGCGGACCCAGGACCCAGAGCATCCATCCATTCATCCCAGAGGGGTAGTCCTTGCTCAATGGACCAGGCGTGTGGACCAGTGTTTGAGTTCATTGAGTGCTGCGCGTCGCGCTGCACGGCGGTGACAAGGTGTGGAGCGCGAGGGACGATCAAGGTCACATCAAGGTCACATCTATCAAAAGGGCTCGCCTAAATTTGAGCTGTGATAGCAAAAATTTGGGAAACGTTGCGAATATGCTCTAATGCTGCCTTTGGCTCTGAGGTCATCATGCTTCCATTGCTTGATCTCTGATGTGTTGGTAACAACGCCATCCACTTTGATTTGGGTCAGCACAGCTTTGGTCAGCACATAGGAGATCCCCTGATGTTCCAGATAGGACTCCATAGTTCTGGACCAGATGTCAGGGGAACCCCCGCTTCGGACCGCTCTGCCTTCGATCAGGCATGTGATCGCGCTCGCGTGACCTGTCAGCTGTCACGTGCCACGGCCCGGACTGCCACGCCAAGCGCTTCTCTCTGACGGGCACATGGTCAGGTGTCCCATCGTTCCCACTGTCTCGGTTTCCTATTGTTCTGTCATGGCCATTGTACTTATTGTTCCCATTGTCCTTTGTTTGTTGCTGCGCGGTCTATTGTTCTTGTACCATATAAATAGTGGTGCCTGGCAAGGAGACTCCCCAACACGGTTTCTCTTTGGATTCTCCCTTGCCAGGTATGCCGGTCTTGTACCTAGCTACCACTATTAATCACCTTTGGATTCTCCCTTGCCAGAACTCTGAGATCGGGTCTCGAGGTTGCCCTTACAGCAGAAACCGTGTTCCTAGGGATAACCGGACAAGATTGCGAGGTTCGACGCTGACGCCAGTGGAGAAGAGTCGACAAGCGACCAAGACCACCACTCCCTCACCTCCTATCTTGCCCCCTCCTCCCCTCCACAAGCAGACCCGATGAGCATGGAAGACCACGACCAGCAGCGGCTGTCCGCTCTGGAGACCAGCATAACAAATATCGAAGCCGTGCTCACCCGGCTCATCACCCAACAACAACAACCGCCCCCTGCCCCTGCCCCTGCTCCAGCTCCGGCAGCGGGTCCAGGTGTTTCTGCTGGCGCTAACTCTGCGCGCCCTCTCATCCATCCAAACCCCCCTTTCGTCTTTGATGGGGATCGCACCCTGGGCAAGAGCTTCTTGCACTCCGTGAAGCAGTACTGGCGGCTGCTTCCCAAAGCGTTCTTCGAGAGCAGGGTAGTCTCGGAGGAAAAGGTAGTCTGTTTTGCCCTGTCCTACATGTCCAAGGACTCTGCAGCTTCCTGGTCCGAGCGCATGTCCGAGCGCACCCCGTTCCCCTTCCCCACTTGGACTCTCTTTGTCACCGAGTTCAAGCTCCGATTCGTCGAGGAGAACGAGCAAGACCACGCCCTGGCGCGACTGGAGACCCATCTATATTATATGGGCTCGCGAGATGTGTTCAAGTACACGGACGAGTATGACGACCTCCTTGACCTTGCCGGTGAAATGCTGAGGGCGTGCTCACAAGTGAATCTACTATGAAAGTAAACCCAAATATAAAACACGTTCACACTCCTCGTAATCAGCTTCTCAGTGTGTGAAAGATGCGAGGGCTTCGGGGTGGACAGAGCACCAGTATCACAACTCTCAATAGACGCAGATCCAATAGTCGCGGAGACGAAGTCGACGACAAGAATTTATATATAGCAAACAATGGTGTCTCAACCAATATCTTCTATACGAGCACAACCAACACTAATCCAATCCACAAACAACAATATAACAAGTCAGAGCTTAATACGAAGTATTAAGATCCCTTGTAGCGACAGCGTCCAGATGGCGACGCGAAGCTCAAATATCAAGTCGACGCACTGCCAACCGATACAACCAATATACTGAGTCGACGCACTGCCAACTAGTAAACCAAAATGTCAGGTCGACGCACTGCCAACTGACAAAACCAAAAGTACTGAGTCGACGCACTGCCAACTAGTAAACCAAAAGTACTGAGTCGACGCACTGCCAACTAGTAAACCAAAATGCCGCGTCGACGCACTGCCAACTAACAGCCAATATCCAATGTCCAAAACCCGAGCACAACTTGTCGACGCACTGCCAAGCAAGAAGTGTGGAACCAAAGTTCTCAAGTCGACGCACTGCCAACTGACCAAAACAACCCGAGCACAACTAGTCGACGCACTGCCAAGCTAGAGGTGTGGAACGATCTCAACAAAGCCCGAAGGCGACGACACTCAATGCCGCGACTAAACCAGATGCGGCGAATCCGACTTTCTGATGTCTCAACTCAAACTCAAATCACAGTAGCTACAAGTGCTCAGGGAGCAACTCGTCGCGACCGGGCAGGGGTAGCAGAACTTCTTAGGGTGGAATCACGCGGCACGCAAATTGTACAAAACAATCTGAAATGAGAGTGATTCACAGTCCGGGGGAAAGCTCCCCAATACAAAGAAACGACGTGCTACTTATACTGTCTACGACGCTGCTTAGTAAAGTCCTGTACAACTGCATAGTAGCTACGCTATCTAAGATCGGTTGCCTTTTAGGGTAATTGAAAAGTTGAACGATCGGACAGGTCCTGAGTGATCAGGACCCCGCCCCATTGTCCATATGATACTTTTGATGTGGGTCAACCCACCGCGTCATACTTTTGGAATACGACGTGTTGGATTGGCCAACGGGTATGTGTTGGCAAGTGAGACCAACGTGGGCGCCCCAAGAAGCCGTATGGCCCTAGGCACACCAGTCGTCCCCCACATGGTTCGGTTCACGGATCTAGCCGTGTCGGTTTCTAGTGTGTTTGGGTATGGACGCGACTCGCCGTGACACTTGGAAGTGTCACCGCGACGCGTCCACAATGTCCCGTGATCGAATGGATCCTGACATGTGACAAGTCGTCGTCGTGGCATGATCTGAGGAAACGTCCAACTCAAAACCGGGAGTTGCCGCGACAAGATGGTTTAAGTCTCGTAACGCCAAGTCCTGTCCAGTGGTAGTTCTATTATTGAGAACGTCGCGCATTGCTCAGCCCTTCAGCCCAAGTTCCCATCTGCAGAGAATGACCCTTTTCGAGAAGTCGACGCAACGACAGATCCCTTTTTGGGGAATGGTCGCGGTCCAAGCGTTCGTCACTAATGGCCCTGAGCCTGGTGTAGACCCATAAGACCAGTTCCACAGTAGTGGTCTGACTGCCTTGCTATCGTCGACACTATCCACAGTCGTCGACTGGGCAGTAGACCCTTAAGTCCTACTGAGCGCAACACTGTCAACCGCGACACGATACACCGAATGGTTCAAGAGTAAACTCTGTAAAAAGCGCAAAAATACGCCCTTACAGAGCTGGTGCAGAGCGCGTCTGGTAGCCAGCCTATCATCTCCCAGGAACACTAATTTTGACCTCCTGGTCAATCCCGCGACAGTCTCACTGCGTCAGGTCTAAGTCCAACAGTCGACGTCTCGTTCATTTATTATTAAAGCCGCGGAGACATAGAGTTATGTTCCCACGTCTTATTCATTTGGTTGTTCGGTTCCTTCCGTGATCTGCCGCGATCAAACTTCTTCCGGCATGTTCACCATATAAATGCCCTCAATTTTCAGGGTCGAGAGTCTCCCTAGTACGAGACACTCTTGCTTTTCGACCACCATGTCCGCGCCCGACCAGAGCCCCCGCCCCCAAGACAACAACCGTGAGTGACGCCCAGGACGATTACCGCGACTTTTCAACCACGCTAACCGTCCATCAGCCGTCACCGAATCAGCTGTCCCGGGAGCAAACCCGCCTGCCATCGACTGGCGGCAGTTCATGCCGTTAGTCAATGTCTCTCTCATGGCTTGTCGATCCAACTCACCACCTGCCTAGCCCTGAGGCCTACAACATGATGTTGCGGCAGATGGCCGTCGACGTCCGCCAGATCCAGCAGGTGAGCTCCGTTCTAAGCCCGCTGGAGCGAGCAGTCACGGCGATCAATGATTGCCGCGCCTGTTCGCTTTGGCCTTCCTTCTTTTCACTCACGTAAGGACTAGCCGGCGTCTACGCCCTTGACCACCAACGCTCCAGTCGAGGAGTCGTCGCCGCCCAAGAAACGCAAACGAGTCGTCGAACCCGTACGTGTAATCTGTTTCATTCGTTCACTATGTTCTGATCGACCCCCAGGCGGCTCCAACCGAACAAGTCGCCGCCCCTTCGTCGTCCCGGCCTGCCAAGCAGAAGGGGAAGGGTGACGGCTCCAAGCCGCAGGCCCCTGCCGCCGTCGCGGGCAGCAAGGTCGCCGTCGCCAAGAAGTCGAGCGAGAAGTCGCAGGGGAAGCGACCCAAGGCGACTCCTGCAAAGGAGCCCAAGGCGTCGTCCCACGCGCCTACTCGTAAGTCGCTCTTTCCTTTCATTCACCAGAGTCGCGGGTACTGACTTGTCGTAGCCGCTACCTCGGTCCCTATTCCACAGGGGTCACTTCCCAAGCGCGTTCACAAGAAGACGCACGTAGGTGTGTAATCCTATGTCTTATTTCATTGATCTTTAGACTAACCACCTGGTCCCTCCCAGCCCGGATCCAAGCACAGCCCGTGCAACCCGAGTCCCTCAGCGATGAGGAAGCCGCCGCCGTCGCCGACACTGCGATGGATGTCGACGACGAGGGGGTCCAGGAGGGAGACGCGTCATCGGCCGACGAGCTGGCCCTTCAGGTAAGTGACCCAGTTCGTCGATCGCGATTCCTTCGTCTCATGGTTGGTTTGTTTTTGACAGGGGCCCAAGTCCAAGGGGAAAGCGCGATCGAATTTGAGTGCGTTCTTCCTCTTGCCCCCTCTGTCGATTACTCATACTTTCGTAGCCCCGTCCGTTATCGTCATGGACGACACTTCCGAAAGTGGGGAGGAGACTGGCGATTTCGTCGTGGCCAAGAAGCAGGTCAGCGAGACCCGCGTCAAGCCCAAGGTAAGCCGACTCCTTTTTCCCAGACCACGCCCCTTAATCCAGCTTTTTAGCCAATCAAGAAGGTCGCGGACGGATCGTCCAAGTCGACCAAGTCCGTGCCCCCCCAACCGGTGCCAAAGGTGGAGGCCAGTCGCAAGGCGAGCGCCCCGCGAGCGACGACTACCCCGACCCCAGTGGCTAAGGTGAGACACTAATCTTGGGTTCCAGACATCGACTAACTCAATTTTCTTTCTTTTCTAGGTTGCCCAGGCGGCTCCCGCCGCTACCAAGACTCCACGCAGTGAGTTGGGCAGGGTGGCCGCGACCCTTGGTCGCGAGCGGAGTGTTGCTGCGGCCAAGGCCGAGCTCAAGGCTCAGAAGGCAGAAAAGTCCGTTGCGGCGGCCAAGAAGAAATCTGACTCGGTGAGTCGCGACTTTTTCTTGTCGTCGACTTTTTACTGACTTGACTGTTTCTAGACTCCTGCGAAGGCGTCGGCTCCCACGCCCCGAGCTCCGTTCACTCCCGCCGCCTACGACACCGAGGCGCTCCTTTTGGTGGCACGCCAAGGGTTCGCGGGGAAGTTGGAAAGGGCCGGCGTAGAGGTGCCCACTGACTTCGTGCGTTGTTTTATCTTTTTCTCTCATGCCTCGACGACTGACTCCCTTTTTCATAGGAGGTCGCGCCAAGGCCCTGCGCGATGTGCGTGACGCGGCAGCGCGTCTGCTTCAAGAGCGTCGACGGGCGCCACGGCAATCGGTGCGCCCCGTGCGTGCTCTATAAACAGACTTGCACCAACGGCTACAAGCCCGCGGAGCAGCTGTACATGGGGCAACGCTTCGGGTACATCGCGCAGATGAGCGCGGACGGTAAGAGTCCACTCTTATCATTCATTTCTATTTTTGATCGTTTCTGACGACGTCTTCAGATCTCAACAAGTCCGCCAACCGTCTCGCCGACACCTTGGACGCGTACGGCGGGCTTCTTCGCACGGCCAACGAGATCCGCGTCCTGGCCATTGGCCAGTTCCGTGATTTCGTTGGTCAGCTGAAGGAGCACTTCGACGACGGCTCGGACGAACGCATCAAGGTGATGTTCGTCCACACCGCGACCGAGATCGACGCCGCCGAGATGGCCGACATCCGCAAGGGTGTTCGGATGATCTTGGCCCACGGGGACTTGTTGGATGGCGAGGCGAACGAGCGGTTCGCGGCACCCCCTGCCTTCTTCGATCCCTTTTTCTATCGCGAGATGGAAAAGATGGAGAAGCAGTTCCAGAGGGAGATCGAGAAGGCCCAGGAATTCGACAAGTCGGACCCCGCGACCGTCCAGGATCAAGCGTTCCAACCTGGCGAGGATCACGAGATCGACGTCGCGCACTTGGCGAGTAGTCGTACCCGTGCGCCTTCCTCGTCGCCCCAGCCTTCGCCATCGCCGCCTCCTGTTGCGTCGTCGTCCCAAGCCGTTTTACAGGTCTTGGACTTTTCCGACAACTACAGCGAGACCTCGGCCGAGTCCACCAAGGCCGCTTCGGATGAAGACGCGGAGGGTGAAGAAGACGGGTCTGCCGGCAACGAGAACGCCGACGACGGGAAAGTCGACGACGAGAACGTCGAC